GTAAATATCTGTCTAAAGTTTACTTAATCATTAAAGACATGGCATTTCTTGATCGATGCTCTGAAAGCTGGAGTGGGGAGGTGTGTGCAGCACCTCGTTTAGATTTAAAGAGACAGCCTCAAAGCGAGTTGATCTGAGACTCACCTCAAAAAAGGATTAAAATAGGGGATTGTGGAGTTACAATAAAGAGGAATTCAGACCAAAAATCATTGCATTTCCACTTTGTGTAGACCCCAACTGAGTGATTGAAATGTGAACAAAAAGGATTTAAAAGCATGATGTGTCTCCTTTAAGTGGCAGATTTTGAATGTAAATGATGCAGTTGTAGCCTCTCAACTACCACATCAAATTTTAGCACAATACAAGCAAAACTGACTGAAATAAAGCCATTTCTTGGTTTTCTCATACCATTTGGCTGTGGCAGTCATCTTGATAGGAACTGACTCTAAATGTTAATCTGCTGTAGAGGGACATCTAATTATTTTTTTTGCAAAAAAAAAATCTTCTTTTTCATGAGCTATTTTGCTGACAGTCATGTGACAAGTTCACACAAAAAGTTAATAGCTTATAGCTGATAGTTAATATCTTGCACAAATTGTTAGAACACAGACTTTTGCAAAACATGACTCAGTAAAAATAGTGTTCATATTTTTAACTTTTTTGGATGGTTTTGTTCTTCCTTTTCTTGTCTCAGAGTGGTAGCAGTGAAAGGAGAGAGGTGCGTCAGTTCCAGTTTACAGCTTGGCCTGATCACGGCGTGCCCGAGTATCCCACCCCATTCCTAAACTTCCTCCGCAGGGTGAAAGCCTGCAATCCTCCCGATGCTGGACCAATCACAGTTCACTGCAGGTTTGTCCAAATCCAACTGGAGCTTCTTGCATTTGAAGAATTGTACATATTTGATTTTTTTTTATTCAACTTCCCTATTGTGTATTTCCAGCTGCAAAAGCTAGCGCTATCTAGTTGCACATGACCTGTTCACCTGTTCCCCCATGTTTGTTATGTGTGTTTAAAAAGAATGGGTGTTCTTAACTGCAAGTTCCTAGTCTGTGAGTGTTCATTGAGAATGGCATTAAAACTGATTCTGATTCTGACATTTCTAGATGTAAACAGGGCAACTTGGCCACCCTGTGTGGCTAACATGTAATGAAATTTGACACTAAGTTACTTTTTTTTACACTTGTGGTTTTTGATAACATTTGAACAAGCCTGTTACTGTTTTCAATGCAAAAACTGAAAGCAATTGCTTCTGGGGTTGTTGTTTTTTTTTTCCAGTGCTGGTGTTGGTCGCACCGGCTGTTTCATCGTCATCGATGCCATGCTGGAGCGCATCCGACACGAGCGCACCGTAGACATCTACGGCCACGTGACGCTCATGCGCTCGCAGAGGAACTACATGGTGCAAACGGAGGACCAGTACAGCTTCATCCACGAGGCGCTGCTGGAGGCCGTGGCCTGCGGGAACACTGAGGTGGCTGCCCGCAGCCTCTACTCCTACATGCAGAAACTATCCAAGGTGGAGCCTGGAGAGCACATCACCGGCATGGAGCTGGAGTTTAAGGTGGGGAGGAGGAAATATTCAGAAGGTTCAAATTTCCCCTGAGTTCTAGCATTAAAGTATCAGCTTTAAATTAGTTTACAGTGAGCTGTAATGGTGACTAGTTTATGTATTTAATGTTTTTTGTATTTGCGGATGGATGGATGGATGGATGGATGGATGGATGGATGGATGGATGGATGGATGGATGGATGGATGGATGGAAAAACACACAAACACCAAAGTCTCTATTTTTGACATGTTTAGCTGAAAGTATAACAGAGTGTCTCGTTTTATCTTTTAACATAAACAGGAAAATTGATTTTTATGTGATTTATTTATATATTTATATATTTTTTTCTTTCTTTGAAAAGTGAATCAATTACCCTGGGATTTGTATAAAGGTCACTTTGCCTTTTTGATTAAAAAAAATCAATAGTATAACACTCCAAACAATCCAGGTTTAAAGCCACACTTGTAAAGTTTACAGATAAAATATAAAATAAGATTAAATTCTCTGTTTTATGCCCACTTCTTCTCATCTCAATGGGTTCTATAGCAACATTTTGTATCAGTCACTAAGCAAATAATCCTAAATTAAAGCTCCTTCTGATATGGCAAATCACTTTTTGTTCTCTGATTATTCAAATGTAAAATATAAAACACGTCGCCCTACATTTTTGTTCTATTTTTTTCTTCCAGCGCCTGGCTAACACCAAAGCCCACACATCCCGGTTTGTCACAGCCAATCTGCCCTGCAACAAATTCAAGAACCGACTCGTGAACATCATGCCCTATGAAACCACTCGCGTGTGCCTCCAGCCWATCAGAGGTCTGGAAGGCTCCGACTACATCAACTCCAGCTACATTGATGGATACAGGTATGTTGTTGTCGCTCCAACACTAATCTGACCTGACCCTCCTGTCTGGTTTATCATGCCTTGATAAGAGACTAGACTGGAGAACTCCTCACCATCCATCACGTCACGTCAGGTCTGTCCGTACTAACGAGCATGCTCCCAGGATTTGTCTCGGTGCACGGCACTCGTCTCAGTTGCCCTGTACAGACGGGGGGGGGGGGGTAAAGACTTCCTGATGACTCAGCCTTTCATTGTGGTTTACACAAGGGTTGTGACTGTTCCTTTTCCTGCCTGAAGCCTGACCCAATTTTCAGTGAGACACTCGGTGGATGAAAAAATGAGGAGGTGACTTGATCAAGTGTGTGTGTGTGTGTGTGTGTATGTGTGTGTATGTGTGTGTGTGTAGGCAGCAAAGAGGCTATATTGCCACCCAGGGTCCACTGGCGGAGACCACGGAGGACTTCTGGAGGATGCTTTGGGAACACAACTCCACCATCGTGGTCATGCTGACGAAGCTGAGAGAAATGGGGCGGGTATGGACAACAGAGACACTCCGCTATAAAAAAAAAGGATGAAAATCAGAATTATTTTATTGTAATCATTATTATTGAAAAAGGTTATTCATCATGTTTTATAATGTTAGCACATTTGTTTACCTAAAAATGTCCTAACACATAATGGATTCATAAAACTTTAATAATCAAATGGAAAAATATTAACATTTTCATGAATACTGAAAAAGATTTTTTTTTCAGTTCAGCAGACATTCAATACTGTTAGTTGTTCATTACTGTTGTGCCTTTCAGCTTATTAATGAATTCACATTTGCACCATTTTATGGGAGTTATTATTTTAACTTAGCTTTGGCATAAACATCACAGCCACGCTTGGAGTTATATAAAATATATGCAGATATGTAACATATCTACATATATTTTGGTAATCGAGCAGCATCACCGTTAATTTCTCTTACTAGTGGTGACACATCACTGTTTCAATAATCAGATATTTCAAAAATAAATGCGTCTTTCAAAACAGTTACTGAGAATCACTTAACATTTACGTGTTAAAACAAAAAATATCGCGAGGTAATGCAAAAATATTTAAGTGTGAATGTAAAAGAAACAAAGTAGTTCATTGTCTGTTTCAAAAGAATAACGGTCCCTCATTATGTAAAACTAAACCGCTTCATACATTAATTTAAAATTCACTTCAGATTTAATCAGTGTTACAGTGAATACGGTGTAGAGACTCGGCTCACTCAAAAACAAAACCTGAAAATATATTTTTTAACGMGGAGGGGTTATACAAAATCAARCTTTTTTGAGCTTCATATCATGCCATAAAAACATGCCCAGAGTGTTGCTTTGACTCATTCACACGTTTATGGAACCCTTGAATCTAATGGGGTAGCCTTGTGGAGCTGCCTAAATGCTTGCTGGTACAAAGCACCGCCTATTTACACAAAGCTCCTCCCCTGGAGCTCAGTCTGCTGCCGAGCTCCCACTCCCAGTCAAAATTATTTTGGCTATAAACCACATTTTAAAATGACTGAAGGTAACACAGTTTTATTGTGTTTTAGAACTACTGTATGTGCCTGGAAAAATACATAAAACCCCACCTTTAATAAAAACGATTCAATGAATTGTTGGTTGAGGATTACATGTCTATAAATGTGCATTTTAAAAATGACACAATTAACAGATTTTGAAAAATCACAATCTTTTTTTGTTTTCCCTGCTTCATCAGGAGAAGTGTCACCAGTACTGGCCCGCTGAGCGCTCTGCCAGGTATCAGTACTTTGTGGTGGACCCGATGGCGGAGTACAACATGCCTCAGTACATCCTCCGGGAGTTCAAAGTTACAGATGCCAGGGTAGGTTCTGTATGYTGCTTCCAGACTTTGTAACTTAATTTTTTTTTTCAGCTTCAGTGTTGTAAGGGGGTCAGRGAAGCAGAGCGTCGTATCGACCTGTCGTGTGTTGCAGAGCGAGTGTTTTGTATGCGAATGTGTGCATCTCGACAGGTTCCCATTATTGATAAGATGCTGTAGGCTACTCGTTCAACCGTGCTGCCTCCAGATTACCTTGGCAGCACGTGTGAGTGTGTGTGAGATTGTGTGTGTGTGTGTGTGTGCGTGCGTGCACACTTACTCATGTGACCATGTGCCAGTCATAGATAACTCCAGTTAAGCCTGTCCTGCAGTGACGCCACATTGACAGATGCTCTATTGATCTCCATTAAAGGGGAGTCAGAAAGGCTGAGCTGAAGAGAAAAGATGTAATTGCTTACTGAGTGGCRGACAGCAGCAGACGTACTGACGTTACAGCTTCAAGTTAACCACAGCTAACTGATCCAGGGTCAGATAACAGTAATGATTAGAAGAAGGGGAGGGGAGGATATTGCCTGGCAGAACCTCTCTCCTCAGTCGATACACCAAGAAGCTCTGTAAATAGTGGTTTTTGAAATGATCTCATTCACTAATTTTCAGCACAAATTTATCGTTCTGGTAAAAATAAGTAAATAAATAAATAAATAAATAAATAAAAACCGCCAGTGTTATTTATGAGATTTTTTTAAATTCATCGTAGCGTGAAAGTGTTTCTGAGATATTTCCGTGACTGTGTTTCTGCACGACTCGCACCACCTCCTCAAGGACGGCCAGTCAAGAACAGTGCGCCAGTTCCAGTTCACCGATTGGCCAGAGCAAGGCGTGCCCAAATCCGGGGAAGGCTTCATCGACTTCATCGGCCAAGTGCACAAAACCAAGGAGCAGTTTGGCCAAGACGGACCCATCACCGTTCACTGCAGGTGATCCGCTGCTTTCATCTCTGCAGTGGCTGGCAAACACCACAGTCGCTGTTCAGAACCGTGGAATTAGATCTGACTCTGGGAATGTGTGTGTGTAGAGGGGTGTAAACATGTTTACTTTGACGTTTGCAGTGCTGGAGTTGGGCGGACAGGTGTCTTCATCACTCTGAGTATTGTCCTGGAGAGGATGCGTTACGAAGGGGCAGTGGACATCTTCCAAACTGTCAAAATGCTGCGCACACAGAGACCAGCGATGGTGCAGACTGAGGTAAACACTCTCTCGCTGACAGCGTCTGTACAAAACAAACTTGTTTACTCGTGTTTGTTCCTCAGAGAAGTCAGARCTTCGTGTAATTGTTTAAATTTCTTCCTGACAAAATGCTGCTTTTTAACTCTTTTTCAGTCCAGTCCTTGTACCCGAGTCGCCGCACACGTTTGAARGTTCTTGTTTTTGAAGCCACTTAACATCAGTAACATAATTCATTCATCTAYAAAAGCCTTTAACTCAAGGAAGGAGTCAGTGTTTTGTCTGCATACAGACGCAGACAAGAAAGAAGCAATTAMTTTGGCTGAAAACTTGGTACATCCAGGTGTGCAGCGTGTTCTTAACAAGTTTGTGTCAAGGTGTGGAACAAAAGGAAAATGRCGAGGCAAAAACAAAATTATTTACAGCGAAAAAGCAGAAGCTATCTTTAGAAACAATAAAGAAAAAAAAAACAGCAAAAACCAGAAACAAGACCAGCTTTCTTTTTACATCTGATTTTWAAAAAATCATGTAAATTACAAACTCATATAGTGGGAAAGAACATTAATTAAAACATCTGAATGCCAACAACATTATCCTAAATCACTAGAGAAAAGCAAACCACAGAAACCTTCTAAAAACACCTCTAAAATAGAAAACATAAGATCTGTAGAAAGCTTATAAATATGTTGATTAAAACTATTTTAACCACTTTGGTCAGAATTACAGTACAGCACTAACATAAATAAAACACCTAAATTATTATGTTACAAAAAGAAAATCTGATTTGATTTCATCAGCAGCTGTGGTTGTTTTCCAGAAAACTTTCAGGTTTTGAGAAGTTTCTGTTTTTAATAAAGTTGTTGAAAGGACCTAGCAATAGGCAGTATCTTACCTGCAGTTTGGAAGYGAAAAAGAAGCATAACTTTGTCATCTAAGACATCTCAACCCTAATAATGTGATAGTTGTTTGAGTGTACAAGTTGTAAAATATTTAAACACATTGTTACTTTTTTATCCAACAGTTTGTTTACTCTGTCACCAGTAGTTATGTTGGAATGTGTGTCACTGAGCTTTATTATCACCTGCTGCTCAAAATCAGCCAGTTTTACATATATGTAACTAAAATTAATTCAAGCTCAACAGATCGGTGCCACGCTTCTTGAGCCTGTTTGTTGACATTTGTTTTGACTTGGCTCTATATAAATACACTGAATTGATTAGAACAGAATTTACAGTTGAATAAGTTATGGAGTCACTTCAACACAGGATGGTCACTACAGCTGACAGAAGAATGGCTCAAACTGAGTCAGTTCTACAGCTACTGTGTTAACTTTAAATATAGGGCAATTCAACTGGCAACCCACAGGCCACATCCAGCTCGCAGGTGACTTCCGTCCAGTCCGCCAATGAGTTCATTTTAAAAAATAAAAGAATATGTTTTTTTTTACTTTGATAGAAAAATGATGATTCAATGCGGCAAAATGAATAAATTTAAAAGATAATTCTTGTTTTTGTACACAGTGCAGTGTTTCTCCTACCATTATCAACAATACTATTGTTTTGCACGGCTGCAAGAGATTGCACATAACATTTATAAAGTTTAAGCAAAACAAGTATAATTTTATAACTTAGTATAATGTTTTTATTTTAAAACATGCATTCCTTCAAATAAGTTTTGATTTTTTTGCAAGAATTTAAATGCTTTGTTTTCTAGTACAAGCTACAGTACTCTTACTGTGAAACTAACTTTTCCACAACAAATAGATTAGGTGTTAGCTGTACGTTTATGTCTGTCCCAAGTGTACAAACYTTTGTTTACTTGTGCCATCCCTCTATCTGTCACTCAGGACGAGTACCAGTTCTGCTACCAGGCTGCTCTGGAGTACCTGGGTAGCTTCGACCACTATGCAACGTAAGAGGAGACTCGACCGTGCGGCCATCTTTCTGCTTCGAGGTTCGAACCAACGAGCGCCGCGACAGAAAGGCGGTGTGAACGAAACAACGTGAACATTTCATGGAAGCAGAACTTAAAGAGCAACCTGACATCAACAAGCAACAACAACAAAAAAACAAAACAAAAGCAAAACAACAACAACAACAAAAAACAGCAACAAAAATTTTGTCCGACAGCACTCAAACGCTCCTCGGTAGTTTCCCCTCCAATCTGATGGGTGAGGAGACCAACCATGTGTAATCCATATACTTACCTCAGTGTTCCAGTGTGAAGGACGTATAATACATGTGTGTTGTGGTCAGCTATCTCCAGTATGAACCAGTGAAATACAAACGGCTTCTGAACCGGAGTTCTGATACTCCATGTGTGTAAAATACAGAAAAAAAGATTCAAGAGAAAAAAAAAGATATAAAAACACAAAGAGCCTGGATATTTGCTGCACCCTAAATGGGCTTTTTATCCTCAACTTTATATCTATTAGTTTGATGTTCTAAAGGAGTTAGAGTGAACATTTCTATGTGTCCGTGAGTCTATTTCAGAGGCGTCTTACTGTCCGTTCTGGTTCCAGTGGGAAGCAGGAGCACTCAGAGGACTTGCTGAAGAAGCACATGGACGCTCATTGTACCCGATGCACAGTGCCAAGACTTAAACCATGCAGCGCCAACAAGAACTGTGGCTCCAAGGAGAGACGGCATCTTTTTCTTATCCAGCATATAAAAACAAAACAAAACAAAAAAAGCTTTGGCGCGAGCTCAAACTCCTCGATCATGTCCTCACCGAGAACAGCACGGGTCTTGAACCGGGCTAAGATTTGAAGTCCGTTAACAGAGGTTGCTTGCTTTTTTTATTATTATTATTTTTGCTATTGTCTTTGTTCATCCTCCACCTRGGGTTCCTCTTGGTCCACTTGTGTCAGATCAGCAGTGGCTTACTGAAAGAGATGCTAACAACAAGAACCGAGCTCTGTACGTTTCCCTCGGAGCTCTCAGACCTTTTTATTTTTATTTTGCCTTATTTTTATTATTATTTTTATGCTTTCTGCTGTTTTAACATGCTGCCTCATTCTCACGCACTGTGTGCTGCTTTTATTTGTCGTACATGATCTCCAGCTGAGGATGAAAGTTGTCTCGTGGTCATTTATTCTTCCTCTGCTAAAGATTTCCTACTTGAATTGCACCACTTTGCAGTTAAATCTGTTTATATTCTATCTAAGGCTCCAGGGTATGAAAAATAACAAGACATCCTAAAAATTAAAGCACTGTTTTTTTTTCACAGTTAAAGAAATACATTTTACTCTTGTTTCTTTAATCCCTTTGTCCAGGATATTGGTATATGGCTTTTTCTCATTTGAAATATAATCTTAATAATTAGAGTGATTAAAGAGCACAGTGATGATTAATCAGTTTTGTACATACAGTCCATGATTGGAAGTCCTATCTYTAAATCTGAGAACAAGACTGGGCTGGATGTGATGTAGTTCTTGCTGTTGCAAAAAAAAAATTTTTTTTTTTGAAAAATGAAGAGAAATAGCCTTATTATTGCCGCTCACTTTGTTATATTTATTTCATATGATTTTTAAAATATATTTTTGATTCTATTTTGTTATTTTTCTGTTTTCTTTTTTTGTGGGGGGAGGGGGGATTTCTAGCATTTATAAAGAGTTTTAAAAATATTGATGTTAGTTTAATGGCGAGCCATTGTTGAAGTATATTGTCACTGTTTTTTATTATTTTTATTTTTGATTGTTGGTTTTGGTGCTTTTTTATTTGCTTTGTCATGATAAGGTATGCCCTCTGTGTAGGGTGCTGTTTGATACTAATTACTGATGTCTGACTAGTTAGCTAAAGATGTACATTAGAGCTATTCCAAGTTTGCAGTGATGCCCTTTTGACGCCACCCCCCACCCCCCAATCCACCTACTGCAGCTGTGGGACGATGTTGGCAGAGGCCCGCTCCACCTCCTCCTCTCTCTTTCTCTTTGCGATGAGTTCAAGGGCATTCGAGACTTTAGATGCATAGAAGCAGAATTATCCGTGAAACCCCTCCCTGATGAACTGCTGATGTTTAGTTTGCTAAGTGAAAGCACATGGTAGCAGGTGTATTTTTCTGACAGAGAAAGGGGAAGCATTGTCTAGCGACACACTTTATACACCCTCAAAGGCTATTTGTTCTAAATCTGAAACTATTCTCATATGAACTCTTTGTGTGGTCCTGAAGTCTTGACGATGTTCGACATATAATGAAATACGTTACTCCTTCGATTTCTGATGATTATTGTGTCAAGAGAAATATAAAGAGGCGCGCGCACAAAATGTAATATTCAAAGCGTGTTGAGGGCCAGCTGATGATGCCATACCCCTCACTTATGTACTTGTTCTTTCCTTTCAAACCATAGATGTAGATATTGTATCTTGAATTTGTATTAAAAGCAAAATGATTGGATATAGAGCAAACTGAGCAGTTTCATTTCTATTTTGTGTGTGTGTGTGTGTGATTCTGGTCCACCATCCGGCGTCTCAGGAGGGGGAAGCAGTGCAGCACCAACACTGTTTATAGTGGGGATGGTGTGCTGCTGACCTCAACTCGTGACGTTCTTGGCCGGTGGGCGGAATACTTCGAAGACCTCCTCAATCCCTTTTTTTCTTTTTCTTTTTTTTTGTGGATCCATAAAAAAAACCTCCTCAATCCCTTTTTTTCTTTTTCTTTTTTTTTG